AACCTGTTACAGTCAACAGGGTCTTTATGAGTAGATTTAAACCAATATTTAGCTAAACCTGTTACAGTCAACAGGGTCTTTATGAGCAGATTTACACCAATATTTAGCTAAACCTGTCATGTTTCAGTCAGTCTTTATGAGTAGATTTAAACCAATATTTAGCTAAACCTGTCATGTTACAGTCAACAGGGTCTTTATGAGTAGATTTAAACCAATATTTAGCTTTTCTGTGTCACTAAACCTGTTACAGTCAACAGGGTCTTTATGAGTAGATTTTCACCAATATTTAGCTAAACCTGTTACAGTCAGTCTCCATGACAACGGGACCCAGACCCGGCGGTCCAGACCTGAGTTTCTCCATCAGCAGGCTGATCTGGCTCTGCAGCAGGTCCCTTCCCTCCCGGGTCTGGGCCTCCTCCCTCCGGAGCTCTGAGGAGACCCGGTCCCGCCGGGCCCCCCCCCCCCCGGGGGCCCCCGGGGGCCCCCCCCCCCCCCCGGGGGCCTCCGGGGGCGCCCCCCCGCTCAGCGCCACGCAGCCCGTCATCAGCTGGACGTACAGCTGCCGCTCCTGAAGGCACCGCTGAGACACCAAACGCACCTGAACACACCACACCCCCGCAGACCCTCAGAAACTCTCCAGACAGGTGTGTTTTTGACTTGGACATGGACATAGACATAGACTTAGACTTAGACTTAGACATGGACATGGACATGGACATGGACATGGACATGGACATGGACTTAGACTTAGACTTAGACTTAGACATGGACATAAACATACAGGACTGTCTCAGAAAATTAGAATATTGTGATAAAGTTCTTTATTTTCTGTCATGCCATTAAAAATCATGAAATGTCATACATTCTGGATTCATTACAAATCAACTGAAATATCGCAAGACTTTTATTGTTTTAATATTGTTTTAATAGCCATAATCAGCGATATTAAAACAATAAAAGGCTTGCGATATTTCAGTTGATTTGTAATGAATCCAGAATGTATGACATTTCATGTTTTTTAATTGCATTACAGAAAAAAAGAACTTTATCACAATATTCTAATTTTCTGAAACAGTCCTGTAGACTTAGACATAGACTTAGACTTAGAAATAGACTTAGACTTAGATATAGACATAGACATAGACATAGACATAGACATGGACTTAGATTTAGATTTAGACTTAGACTTAGACTTAGACTTAGACTTAGACATAGACATAGACAATGACATAGACATAGACATAGACTTAGATATAGACATAGACATAGACATAGACTTAGACTTAGACATAGACATAGACATAGACATAGACATAGACATAGACTTAGACTTAGACTTAGACAGGTGATAAGTGTTTTTGGAGACATTTCTGGTGCACGCACCTGCTCCAGGGCGGCCATTTCCCAGTCCACCCGGGAGATGCAGTCGGAGATGTGGGCCTGCCAGCGGCTCACCTCCAGGTGCCGGGAGCTCAGGTACCCCACCGTGTTACGGGTGGCAGCGGGCACCTGGTGAGGGAAAGGGGGGGTTATTTTACAGGATATTTAGTTTAGGAGGCAATTCAAAGTGATTCAGAAAGAATTTTAAAAGAAGGAAAACAAAAAAAGAAAAGGAATCAGTCAACAATTTGAAAAATGAGATGAATAAAAAAGTGAAAGGTTCAGATAAAATACATTAATTTCCCATATTCAGAGTTAAAAAAAGAAAAAGAATCAACAATTAGAAAAATTTGATGGATAAAAAGTGAAGGGTGCAAATAAATTACGTTCAATTTCCATATACGGTACACAATTAAAAAAGAAAAAGAACCAATAATTAGAAAAATTTGATGGATAAAAAGTGAAGGGTTCATATAAAATACATTTATTTTTCATATATACAGTTAAAAAAAGAAAAAGAACCATCAATAAGAAACCCTAGATAGATAAAGAGTGAATGGTTCAGATAAAATACATTCAGTTTCCATATAAAGAGTTAAAATAAGAAAAAGAACCAATAATTAGAAAAATTTGATAGATAAGAAGTGAAGGATTCAGATAAAATACATTCAGTTGCCATATACACAGTTAAAAAAAGAGAAAGAATCAATAATTAGAAAAATTTTGATGGATAAGAAGTGAAGGATTCAGATCAAATATTTTCAGTTTCCATATACACATTTAAAGATAATCGTTTTTTGGATCTGAAAGTAAAAGAAAACCCCCAAAAACAAACAGGAAAAACTGAAAAAGCCACAGAAACACAGAGTTTCTCCTCAAATTTCAGTTGTCCTATATCTTCTATCTATGTAAACATATTAGATGAAACCATCCCTCTCTGGACCGGGTCCTTACCCGGGAGACGTCGTCCCCCAGGCTGCAGTAGATCTGGTCCTGCAGCAGCTGCGGGTTTCCTCCCCTCTGGACCTGGGTCCTGCAGTTCTGCCCTCCGGCCACCGGGGGCAGCCTGACCCCCGGGGGCAGATCCTCCCGCAGAGAGCAGCGCTTCCTGGAGGGAAACAGTTTAACAGGCCATTTAAATTAGACCTAGACATAGACATAGACTTAGACTTAGACTTAGACATAGACATAGACTTAGACAGACATAAACATATACATAGACTTAGATATAGACTTAGACTTACACTTAGACTTAGACATAGACTCAGACTCAGACATAGATATAAACTTAGACATAGACATAAATTTAGACTTAGACATAGATATAGATATAGATATAGACATAGACATAGATATAGATATAGATATAGATATAGACATAGACTTAGACTTAGACTTAGACTTAGACATAGATATAGACTTAGACTTAGACATAGACTTAGACTTAGACATAGACTCAGACATAGACAGACATAGACTTAGACATAGACATAGACTCAGACTTAGACAGACTTAGACTTAGATATAGACATAGACATAGAAATAGACTTACATAGAAATAGACTTAGACTTAAACTTAGACATAGATATAGACTTAGACATAGACATAGGCTATTCATCAGCTTTTGACCTGTTGCCATCAACTGTTGGATTGTTGAGTTCTGTTCTTGTCGTGGGTTGTATGTAAATGAAATTTCGTTCTGTGTGCACTCTGTGCATGCAAAATGACAGTAAAAGTTGTCTATGTCTAGTTGTCTATGTCTAGACTTAGACATAGACTTAGACTTAGACGTAGACTTAGACTTAGACTTAGACTTAGACAACTTTACTGTCATTTTGTGTGTACGGAGTGCACACAAAACGAAATTTCATTGCAAACAGCTTTAGACAAGAACAGGATTCAATAATTTAGCAGTCTAATGGCAAATGGGAAAAAGCTGTTGTATAGCCTTGTGGACCTGCAGCGGATGTTTTCTATAACTAAGAGCTAGATTAGTTAGGTAGGAGCATATATATACATATTATTGCACAGAGTTATTACAAAAGAAACATCAATGAATATTGCACAGAGTTGATTGCAAAAAGAAACAATTGAGTTGAAGACAAAGCTAAACTAAAATCCACCATTAGGCTATAATTACTCAATTTAGCATAGCATGCTATCACAAGATCTATGTAAATTACTGGTAACTATATTTTGTGTTAAAGTCTCTGGCTGTGACCACAGACTCTCTTTATTCCACACCATTAGGTCAACACACACACATACACCATTTGTTACCACATTCCTGTCATCTGCATGAATTAGGACCTGGCCTGTTCGTGCCCAGAGGTAACTGGCCAATAGGACTTGGTTGTGTCCAGTCCTCCTTTGAGGAGGCGGATCGAGCCCAGGAGAAAATGCCCATCACACTGATATACTTTGCCTGTGACCTAATAAATGTAATTTTTTATACTTTTGATCTACTCTGGTTTATTCTCAGGTTTCCAACTAAAGAATTGGGTTAACACAACCAAACCTGTGTAATAAACCCTCATTTAGCCTCAAATGACTTCATCAAAAGTATTCAAGGTATCACACTCGATATAAAAAAAGTTATCTTAACCATTTCCATGAGAAATCACGGGACTCAGAAGTGTACTCACCACATTTGTGCAGTTTTAGAAGGATTTCGGTCGATATAAAAGGGAGATGTTTAGATAAACGTCCCCTCAGTTTAGGTCTCTGGACTAAAGTGAGCTCTCAGAAAAGAATCAGCTCTCTGTGACTTTAGATTCTGGAATCAGGCAAACAAGCAGCGGAATGACATCATTCAGAACACGGAACCCTCCAACATTCCCTCAATATATACACATTATATATATATATATATATATATATATATATATAT